GGTGTTGGGCTAGAAACACAACAGACTTTGGGAGGTAACGATACATCAGCAGCGAGAGGAGTTCTAACACCAAGCTTTTGTCTTTAGTTTCCTCTGTTCTGTTATTAGATGCTCCTCTTCCCTAATCTAAGAGGTCTGTAAGAGGTCTGTAAGAATTAGTTCAATTCATAGGTTTCCCATTGTAAAGAAAAATGCTTCTGTGTGTTTTCTTTCAGTATCAGATTATTGACCAAATTTCAAGGATTTGTTTGCCTGGGACACAGACAGAAGCAATATAATCTCTTCATACCACTATCCTAGATGGTCTCACCTGCTTAATGAAGTGAGCATCTATAGGGAAAATGAGTGTTGTTCCATCTCTGTGCCCACCAGCTCTTGGCCTCTTGTTTTAAAGGCCTGAAAGTGTATAAATAAGCAATACTTCTTGTGATTTCAGGGAGGTTAATGCTGAGACTAAGACCAGTGAAACTGTGGTCCAAGCTGTCTGGATTGAAGCTATTACTTATCAGCTTGTTAACTTGTAAATTTAGCACTGACAAGGAAAATTGACAAAATAATAAATTATTTTGTCACACCCCATATCCTGCTTCAAGCAGGATTTTATGAAGGAGTAAAAGCAGTGTCAGTGTTCTTCAAAGAAAACAGATAAAACCATTGAAGAATACTTGGCCATTATGAAGATCCCCAAAATCTTAGTGAAGCTTTATCTTACTTTAAGTAAATAATATTTACCAAATATAATGACAAGACACGGCCTGCCAAGAGAATGACTACAGCCATTACCCTGAATTTCTATTTAACACTTTTAAGTAAAACCATATGAGAAACAAACATGTTTTCATTTTACATAACCACAGAACAGGGTTTTTCAATACTTTTAACAGAGCATGAAACCATAAGTGAGAGATTTTGGCAGTCCTGGTTCGAGAAATAAAACTCTCTTTCCAGTGACATATTTCTGTAAAACAGTCAAAACATGAGAAAAAGTATTATTACTATTATTATTGTTGTTGTTGTTGTTTCTATAGACACACAAAATTAATGCTTTTTGAAGGAACTCTATTTCTTCTGAGTATATGGTATGACAGAACACCACTTCAGAGTTCATGACATAAAAATCTGGGTCAGCCATTTCTTTTTCCAGCTTAAGTGTTTGCCAGTATAGTGAGCAGATTACTGTCAGTCAGTTCTAAAATGTTTATGCTGATTCTCCTGCGTTGGCCGAACCTGGAATTCCAACATTGAATACTGGTGACAAGAACTCCAAGGGAAATATAGTTAATAAGATAGAGGTTGTACACCTGACTCTTGTTATGAATACCTTCTTTACCCAAATAATGAATCATTTTTCTTCTGTAACCATTTTTGTTCGATTTTTTTTGTTAAACCATTCTAATGTTATATACTCCTGATCTGTACATTTCTATTTGCTTTCAAAGCACTGGGTGCAGTTATGGCGTGGACAGTTGATACTGTGTGTCTGTCCTTCAAATGTGTTTTGTAAGCAAATATTCCTCTGCATTAGATGAAGCCAGCCAGCAGAAGCCGATTGCCAGTGCACTAATCTAAAGGAGTTATTGTCTTAATTAAGGTAAAAATGTTCCTTGGCCCTTTCTCAACAGGGGTCACTATTGCCTATTGAGATAGAGTTAAACTGTTGAATTCCGTCTCCAGAAGAAAAAGATGAAAACTTTTCATTTGCCTTAGATTTTATTCCAAGATCCTGTGCAGCAGAGAACAAAGATTGAAATCGATTTCTTCCTACACCACAATTTATTTAAAGCCCCATGACACTGAATTGAGGTAAAACACAGAGAAGCCACTTTGTTCATTGTAATTGATAATTATGTAAGAGCAGATCCACTAACTTCTTTTCCGCAGTAAAAGAATCTGAATGAAGCAACAGTCATGTGCTTGTACAGAACTTTCATTTCTTTCATAATTTAATTCTGGATCCTCTGTTTTTTCTCTTTTCTGACTTACTGTTGGACAGTTCCGTAATTGGAATTACAGTACTACATTATGTGTCTCTTCACCTAACAATATGTATCAATCTGATTTTGAAATAATAGAATGTTTGTTAGGATGGTACACAGGGGACAAGAAATGAAAAAAATTCTAAATCCAATTTCTTCAAGCTGTTTTGCTGTTCACCAGTAGCATCGAATAGATGAAACAATGACACCTTTGATTGCAGAGGGGAATCCTGCAGTCAAGTGATGTGCCATGTGCAACTCTCCATAACATTTTGCTGTATCTTTTCTAAACCCTTATATTGGAAGAGGAGTCCATGATAATTTAAGACGTAGATATTCTGCTTAACACTGGTTCTGAAACTTCTGTGAAAAGCGTTTCACAATCATTGAAATTTCTCAAGGAATGAGCTGCCGTCTGGTATTTGAGTCATATACCTAATCGTTGACACTAAAAGTCTCAATTTCCCATCTTTCTCATTGTTAGCTGTATTATTATTTCATTGACAGATTTATTAATTGGGCTTCTTGAATGAACTATCATAGATCTGTGGCAGAACATACTGGTGAAGGAACTGTTTCAGAAAAGGGGATTTCTTCTAATATAAAATACAACTCTCAGCTATGTTAACTTACACAAAATATCCAAGACTTAAAAGGATTTATAAGAATTGGTAATTGTGGTAGTAACACACCATTCTGATCTACTTTAAAAGTAAAAAAAGTCAATAATAAAGAAATCAGCTTAAGTATTGTAGCGGCTTAACAGGTTTGTACTTTGTTGGTGCATATTTACAAAAAAAGAAAGAGTTCAAGCTTTGTTGTTTATTCAGTTTGAGCACAAAACAATATACATTACATTAAGTACTGTAGTTCAAAGAACCACAGATGAATGTAAACAACACCTACAAGTAAAAATATGTGTCAAAGAATGTTGATACTATAACATAGTGTGGCCAATTTAGGTATCATAAGAGAGATGCCATCTTCGCTGTCATTTTTTTATGTACTTTCTTTAACCCTCATGTTTTAACATTACACCTTAGAACTTGGAGTTCAGACATTTTATTCTGTACTCCAGTGCTCCTGTTGAACATGTGCTCTGGGTCTGAAACCAGATCTCTGTTTCAAGACAGCCATTTTCTGATAAACTCCAGAGCATCGTTTCTGTTTGACATTTTTCTGGAAATGAGTTTGAGATCATTATCGTCATAGAGTAGAGGACAAAATCTGCTTTTTATCTTATTGTCAGATGCAGTAGCATGGTGAAATAAAGTAATGTGGTACATCTAATTCTATGAAAATGACCACAGACATTTGTAAACACTGTATGTAACCCAGACTCTGTCAGAACTTCTTCCATGTATGTGTGTTGTTTAAGTCTCTTTTTTTCTGCATCTCATATATGTAGTAGAGTCATTGGGAAGGTTCTTTTTGTGTTAAGCACCAGCTGAGTTCTTAATCACAAGCTAATTGGTTTCAGTTTTCTATTTGGGGCATATTTGTAAACTTGTTTAAACTCTAAAAGGATCAAATGGGATTTATCATTGGTATCAATCCTGTACCAACGTCTGAGTAACAGAACTGCCTTTATTAATGTGTGTTGCCTGCAATGTAACCAGTTGACCTCAGCTGAAGGAAAAAAAGAAGTATCTGATACAGTGTCATTTCCACCTGTGCCTGTCCATCATAAACTGATCAATGAATAAGAGATGTTTGAAGCTGCTCAGGTACCATAAAAGCAATATCTGCTACACCTGAGCCAAATAGACTACTAATTGGCCTCGACTCATCTTACCTCAACAGTAAATTAATAATACAAAAAAAAGTATAGCCAGCGACTTTATGCAAACTTATTCGTATTTGTTGTACATTTCACAATATCACAATCTATTTTTTACTTAAATAATGACACGTAATCAGATGTTTGTTGTCTTGCCACCACTACTTTGTTGTGATCCAGAGGGTCTGTGCAAAGTAGGGCTATGGGAAACAATTTATTTTTTGCGACGAATAATTTAAAGATGCGGTTTCCCAATGTTATAAAACTGTTAATATCATGATGAGATAATCAGCTAATAATAATGCGAAAATCTTGTGCTCAGTCTACTTGTTGATTAGGCTACTTAAAGTTTCAGAACAATTTAAAAATTCCGTTCTGGATTAAAGTGTCCGGTTTTTCTGGCCACCCCATTATGACCACTTTATTCAGACTACAGTGTGTTGTTGTATTTAAAAGAGGGAGATAAACGAGAAAATTAGAACACTGAACTTTAGCTGCAGATTTGGATAATTTGATGTCGTCTGCTTCAAATGATCAAAAAAAACTCTTGAATAAACTCTTAAATAAAACACTGCGTTTTTAAGTCTTGCAAGTTATATTAATTATAATGCAAGTATTATTAATAATAATTACGGTATTTCCTCTAAGTGTTCTGCTTTCAAATTGTATCCACATTATACACCACTAAATTAAAAATAATATTTATTACTGTTGTTTTTAAGTGAGGGGAAAAACGCCAATCTACACAAAATGTAATTGAAGATGTCCGAGAGAGGTGGTAGAGCTCATATCCCGCAATGAGCGCGGTGCTGATACAGGAATTTTTTCACTGCAGTGCCTGATGTAGAAGGGGAGTTCATGTAAATGTGTGCTTGACCTTTTTACATTTCATGATCTTCCACCTCCGAAACAGATTAAGAGTTTTTTTTATTATTATTATTTATCAGTGGCGTTTTCTCCCTTTACGTCTGTACGTTTAAATGCTGCAGGGGAGACTATTCTACCAATCCTGCCGCTGCAGGATCTTGATTTGGAAAAGGAATAATAAGAAGTTTGTTTATTAAGGCGACAGAGCTCATATTTGATCAGGTCCATTTAAATGTTTTCAAATAAGGACGCTTTCGGTCCTCCCTTGCCTGGTGATGTTGGGAAGTGAAACACTATGAGCGTTTGCTCGGTATTCAGTGCAAGGGTACCAGCCACCTTCCCAGGACATTTTTTTTTCTTTTTAATCTGATGCTGCAAGGCGTGCCTCGCTCCTGTGCATGTGATATAGCGAAGGGGAGGCGGTTTTCTAAAAGAGTTTGCAGGGATCCTGATTGCATCACTTGAGAGCCTGACGACCCAGGAGGGGTTTGCAGTTAGCATTGGGTTGCTGGATATCTGGTCGTTGTCGCCACTGTACTTAATTGTTCTCGGGCGGACAAGAAAAGAAGAAGGGTCTGGTTTTCACCATGGGAGCAGCCACCTCTGCAGAGCATGCGGACAAGAGTCAAGAAGCTACAGCTGGTGAGCCGCAGAATGCGGAGGTGAATGAAATCCAGGAGGGACAGGGTGCTGAAGCCAAGGTAAAATGTTGCATCCAATGTGTCGCAACAGATTTCTCGCTAAAGTCCGATTTCTTCCAGGACTTTGATCTTGCAGGCCAGCATTCGTGTGACAATAACGATGTTTCCTGAAGGAAACATAAGGGGGCACCAATTGGGGAAGTAATAATTGGTAGAGGAGTTGAACCGAAAAGTGTCTTAATCCAGTGCTTCCTATACTTTATTTCCCTTGGCCTCTCTTAAAACGTTTAGACAAACGCATTTATTTCTCAGAGCTCAGGTTGGGCTTTTTATACATTGACTTCCCAGTATGTATTCCTTCCAGATTAAGTTTTGCTGTTGGTTTGAAAGAAAAGGCTATTTTATACAGTGCGTTTTAAGTGCAGTTGTGCGCTGCTATGTAATGAAATACTGAGACTGCAGTTGCGCCTCCGCAGTAATAAAAACGCTGAACTAGTATCCTGTTTGATTTATGGTCCTATGCCTTGGATCCAGTGGCCGGAGAATACAGAGCTGTTCTGGCTCAAATAAGAATTTTGTATAATAAACGTCGCATTCATCTTTATTGTGTATTCTGTATTTTTATTTTATATATTTATACAAATTTGTTTGAACTGTAAGTCAAATCTGATGTTGTTTTAAGACCTTCTGAAGAATGTTAGTGGTTTTTCTTTGTATCTTAAGAAGTAAGGAGGAATATTTTCTGAAAATGATTATTTACTTTAGAAAATGTCCTGCAGCGCAAGTTGCGATGGGATTCTTAAGAAGGTTTGTAGCAGACAGTATATTTATAGGACTCTGTGCAGTGCGGTGCGTTAGTTATTTGTAATTACCAAAAGAAACGTCCTATTCTCTGAGTGGAGATTCTGTGCATCGTCCTCTTCACTTCCTCTAAGTACTTATTAGGAGAACGCTGCCGTTTTGTTCTGGCTGCTGACGTAGTGCAACTGGGACGTGACCAGTCGTGGTCTGATGTCAAGCTTCTCTAATATATAGAGATGTTTTGACTGGTTTTCCATCGATGATTAACGATAGGAAAATGCTGTCACACTCCATTCCTGCTAAGTAGTTGTGTATCAACAGTATTTTCATGCTGTACCTTTTGGTTTTTAATGAATAAGTAAATGCCCTCTACAACTCCCTTTACTTAACTTCAATTTATGAATTACAGTGCTTTCCTGGGACTTCTGGAGTTACTTGGGACAGTGAAAAAATAATGTATCTGTGGCTTGATCCAGTAAATACCACTGGATAGACAAGGCCTTATTAAGGGTTTGACATCTTGATCATGTAGTTCCTCTACTCTCCACGAAATAGGAGCAGATTAAAGAATATAGTTTTAAAGGTATCTCATTATCATTATCATTATCTCAGGTATCTTAATGTATTTAGCTATTTTTACCTTAGCACATCTAAAAACAGTTAACCAATCAGTTCTCATTTTTTTGAAGTTCAGATGTTTCATGTTTGCTTCCTTTTCAGTATAACTTGTACAGTTATTTGTTTACGGGCTAATTTATTAAGATACCTATGTTTACCATTTACAGCACAATGAAGTTGCTGATAGCCTCATGCAGTACTGAGCTGGCAAGTTCAGAGCATCAATGCATCAGCTCCAAAACGTAATGGAGTACTCTCTAGTCTTCAGTGGTAAGATACAGTGGTGCTCCCTCATCGTTATATGAGAGAGAACAGTTTCATTGTGCACATTACTGCAACTATTCCAACTCATCGTGAATGTCTCCTGAAGTTTGGCAATGAGAATGTTCTCATGTTTGCTCCATTGCATTCGCTGTATCTAATTATCTGTTGCGTTACATGCCATAAAGGTCATTCCCAATTCCTACTGGTAACTTAAGACTGCAGTCCTTGAAAATTATAACACCTTTCTGGAAGATTTCCTTGTACTTTTTCTCACTGTGTTAGAGAATACAGAGATGCAACTATGTTACAACTTATGTTAACGTACATTCCAGGCTACAAGCTACTTAATTTCAGATCTCATTCTCGATGACTTCATCCCTCTATTAGACCAAATTTAAATAGCAAATTTTTTCTCACATGCTTTTTTAGACACACACATCAGCTTTTTTAGACACACACATCAACACAAAAGTCAATTAAATTCGTAGTATTAAACATTCAGACAGGATTAGATTAATAGATTAAGAGCATTTTAAGGCAATTTTATAGGTAGATTCCCAGTCTCTGTCTACCCCTAAAAGTTTGGAAAACAGACTTCAAAATTCTTCCATACTCACTACAGCTTGGAACCTGTGTTACAGCATTAAACTGCCCAGTCTACAAACTTGACCACATTAAAAATGTCATGCTAAAAGAGTGATGTGGATGCCAGCTGTCAATATGCTGCATCAATTAAACAATATCTGTACTGGAGTTGTCATAAAAACACAGAGCACTCTATTATGTCTTTCATTTCTATGTTCTCAATCAATGTTAGGGAAAGTTGATTTAAAAATTAAACAATTACAGTAACAAGTTACTTGTGTAATGGATTACTTTTTTTAATTAACAAGAGGACTTTTTATAGATACAGATATGTATATATTGTGTGTAATTAATTCATGTAATGTAAATGTAACTGTAAATATTCACTGCATTTCTTGTAAAATATTCCCTTACACATAAATTCTAAATAAATTGTAACTGTAGTGGGTAACTTTTACCTTGTCTGGACACCTTCAAAACACAAACTTCACTGAGAGTATCTTTGTTGGAGAGATACTTTTGACAGAAACAAGCTTCACAGTGTGTTTGTGCAGAATTTGATTTATTTTCCTACCTTTCAAGTATATCTTATTTGTGCTTCTTGTATTTTATTTACCTTGTTAAACTGTTGTTGTTTTGCTGTATCATTGCTATTTTTGCATTTAATAAACGTTTTGCATTTAAGACGCTGAATTAGAAAGGTCTCATTTTAAAATATGCTGAATCCTAGCTACTGTATATACACGAATGTCTTATTCATTATTTGTCTATTAAAGTCTGTTAAAGGAATTAAGTCTACTCTACTTCTCAAAGGTAGTCATGTTAAAGTGGTCACTTTAGTTCAACTGAACTTACAGACTGTGATTATTTTATATGCAAAGTTACTTTTGTTCTCTACAGGCACTGGTGATGTCTATTGTTAGTTTTTTCTCTTCATATTTAATAGCTTTAGATATTAGATAAATAGCATATTTTATAGCTGTGTTTTGTGCACTGTGCATTATTAATTAATCATCAGCCTGCATATACAAATCATCGCTTTTCTAAGCTCAGTTAAGTCCTGTGAATATGCCAAAAATGCATCGATTAAGTCACACCATACTTTTCCCAGGCAGTATACATTTAAACAGTGCTGAGAAGTTGTCTTAACTTAAAATGCACTTGATTCACATGCCTTACAAAATCACAATAACTGTATTTTTTCAGTAAAAAGTAACGTTTAAATTCTATATGTTACAATGTGCTTTGTTTGCAAAATTAGCTTTCTGTTTTTGAAACTGGAAAATAAACATACAGAGATTTTTTACCTATTTATTTTGAGGTTAATTATTTCTAAAAGCCTTCCATATTTTGCTTATTAACACTGTTTTGTTACCAAATGTGAGTTTTGTTTTATTCAGTTTTTAAAAAGCACACAATCTCACCAGCTCCTTCCCTTCGCTCAGGCTAGAAACATTTTGAACTTTGCCGGCAAGAACCCTGAGATGATATTTGCTGCAGTTAGATGCTCACAGACCTAACTAAGGTGAAGATTTCAGAAATCGGCAAGAATGGGAGGAGGTTCTCCTTAAATGCCACACATATACAGTGGGTAGCACCTCAATCTGGACTGTGTGAGTGGCACTGAAAGTGTTAGTGGAGCTGTTGAGCACTTTGCTTGAGATGTGGCTGATAAACATCCTCTCTGGGATACAAAGGAATTTAAGAAATGCTCTTTTCAGAAGTAGGTCACTGGCTGCTGAATGAATACGTGCTCCTCAGACTTCCCATGTCCTTCTTAGTGAAGCGCTTTTATTTTAGGTAGGGTAGGTCCCTAGGGAACCGACTGCAGACTTACTTTTAAATGTTTTCTCAATCTGTAGCACTTCCTTTGCAGACTGTTTCTGGCTATACAACTCTGGAAGTGGCTCCTTCAATGATACTCATACTAATGGTTGAAATGGCACTGAAAATAACAACTGTGCCTTGCTTTGGAAACCTGGTGTAGCATATTTTAGATCTAGCCTATCAAAGGATGATTAAAAACGCTGCACCGATTCGGCAGCATTGTGACCACTTTGTAGCTGGATCCTGTCAGAGTTCTGAAGCTAAGCAAAGCTGGGCATTGCCAGCAACTGGGATGGGAGGCCTCCAAGGAAAAGCAGGTTGATGGAAAACCAAGTTGGACCAGGAAGGTGGCATTTTTTCCTTTAGCCATAATTTCAATACCAATGTCCCAGTAAGGTAACAAGGAGCACTGTGACGTAAAAGGTGCCATTCTTTGGATGAGATTTTAAACTAAGGTCATGACTACTAGATGATTAAATATCTCATGATACTGTTTTAAAGAGTTGAAGCACTAATCTCAGTGTCCTAGCTACATGTCATTCTGGGCTGGTATAATCTAGCATTCTTGAAGTTCCCCTTTTCATCAAGGAAGTACTTTTCTTTTATTGCTTCTCCAGCTGACCTGCTGTGCATTGGAGCTGCTGGTACATAATGGCTCACCAGGGTGGGTGAGGGTCTGTGGTGAATGAAATGGGTCCACTCTTAGGAGTAAAAGCACTTTGAGATTCTTTGAGATGAAACATGCAATATAAATACTGTACAGTTGTAACATTTGATGGTTGATGCATTGGCTTAATTAAAATAATTAATTAACTTGATTAACTAAAAAAAATGCAGTGATCAAAACTTATAGTAATCATCTAAACCAACAACAAGATGATGACCATAATAGTTAGGGATGCGAAGTGGGTTCTAGTTGTGAAGCTGGCTTAGTCTCTTTGGTGGAGACTAAGAGGGTGGGTTTT